CCCACATACTCTATGGTAATACATCCCTTAGAGCAATAGACCATGGGACACCAGAGGACCAACATTCAAACTGAGGAAATACAGGACAAACAGGAGTGCATAAATATGAGGGGGATGGGGAGGGTTACAGGGTAAGGAGGGGAAGAGACTGGGTTAGGGTTGGACATGGCGAATGGGGAATGAAATCAAATGTATGCATTACGTGGAATGTAACACAAGCTCTTAAAAATAAATAAAATAAAGTGCTGAACAGCAAAGATGTCTCCTTGAAGACTAAGATGTGCCTAATCCAAGCCGTGGTATTTTCAATTGCCTTGTATGCATGTACGAGTTGGACAATGAACAAGGAAGACGGAAGAAGAGTTGATGCCTTTGAGTTGTGGTGCTGGCAAAGAATATTGAAAGTCCCATGGACTGCCAAAGGAAGGAACAAATCTGACCTAGAAGAAGTGCAGCCGGAATGTTCCTTGAAAATGAAAATGGCCAGACTTGGTCTCACCTACTTTGGTCATGTGGTCAGAAGGAACCGTTCCCTGGAGAAAGATATCATGCCTGATAAAGTGGAGAGTCAGTGAAAGAGGGGAAGGTCCTCAACGAGACGGGTTGACACAGTGGCTGCAATGATGGGCTCACATGTAGCAAGTATTGTGAGGCTGGCATAGGACCGGATCATGTTTCATTCTGTTGTACACGGAGTCATGATGAGTCAGAACCACCTCAATGGCACCTAACAACAACAACATTCTAGGAGTTTATACCGCATTACTGAAATTAATCAAAATATTTGTCAATTATTCATTGTTACGTGAAATTCAAATGCAAAGCAGAGAGCATTTTAGGTAATCACCTTCACTATAGGAATTGAAGTTGATCTTAAAGACCAAGATATTGCTAATAAGCTCTTAGCCTTGGGCCTTCCCTACCTAGGGTGCCATGGTACAATGGCATGCAAGTTATAGGTTGCCTGAGTATTGATTCTCTTATTTCTCTATGCAGCCAGGATGCCTCTGGGGCTTCCTAAGGACCCATGCCTATTATCTGTGTCTGTTGTTGTTGTTGTTATGTGCCGTGGAGTCGGCCCCGACTCATAGCGACCCCTCCTTGGGTTTCCGAGGCAGTATCACTACGGAAGTAGGATTGCCCAACCTTCCTTCTGAGGAGTGGCACCCTAATCTATTTACATCTGTGCTGTGAGAATAGGATTATTTTGTATGCAGGCAATGATGGGCTTCCTGTTTCATTCTTACTTTATTCTTTTTTTAGGTATATTGTGAAGAATGTGTCTTTCTAGTTTTAAATTAATTTTAAAATAATTTTCTAATGTTATTAAATAATTGGAAGTTCCAGGGTGGTGCAAATGATTAAGGACTTGGCTACTAACTGAAAAACTGGTGGTTTGAATCCACTCAGAAAAGCCTATGAAGAAAGACCTCTTGCTGATCTATTTCTGAAAGAGCACCAAAAACCAAAACCAAACTCACTGCCGTCCAGTCGGATCCGACTCATAGTGACCCCTCCTTGGGTTTCTGAGGCAGTATCACTACAGAAGTAGATTGCCCAACCTTAACTACTGAAAACTCTATGGAATACAGTTCTAGTCTGAAAGACATTGTGTATCTTTAAGTTTGAATTGTTTTTTAATGATGGGAAATCATTGATTGGGTGTTCCACTTGTGTAAAGTAGAAGGACACCCAAAGAGGGGTCGCTGTAAGTCAAATGGACTCAATGGCAGCTAGTTTTTTTTTTTAAAGCTGTGGAAGTAGATTGCCCAAGCTTCCTTCCAAGGAGTGGCTGGTGGGTTTGAACTGCCAGCCTTCTGGTTAGCAGTCAAGTGCCTTAGGCACTATGCCACCAGAGATGTAGGAATGTGTAGGTCTTATTTTTAGCTGAGGTTTTGGATTTGGTGTCATCATCAAAGAGTCCCCTGGGACCATAGTCGCAGGGGACATCAAGCTCAATTGGCATAACATATTATACAAAACATTGTTCCACCTACTACTTTGGCGAGTAGTGACTGGGATCTTAAAAGCTAGCAAGCTGCCATCTAGATGCAACAATGGGTGTCTCCTTGTCAAGAAGAAAGAAGAAAACCAAAT